TTCTACATGCTAAAATTTAAATGCTTAATTCATATTGCTAACTTAAGGAAACCCCCAAAGCCTCCATTTCAGTAACATAAAAATCTTTGCCTCAACAGCTTTTGAATCTGGTATTTTAATTTCTATTTCTTCATCATGGACAGTTATTTAAGTATTCAATTTTCCCAATAAATCTCTTTCCAACAAGGGCATTGTTCATTCAGGCTCATACACAATGGTGTGTCTCCCACTGTTTTCTTAACTTAAAGAGTAATGTTTGTAAAAGAAAATACGGTTCTCTTTCCTCCCTATTGCACCCACAATGCTTACAGGTTCCAAACTAAGTTTTTCTCGACACATAATTAATAGCAAATAAGTTGCTCCTATACTGATTAAAATTAACTTTTTCCTTCCCTAACAGGGAGCATAACTGTTAAGCACGATGGTCTCCACAGCTTCTTGATTGAAACATAAGGGTCCAATGACTTCTTGGTGAGCTTTGTAAGGTTACGCATTCCAAACATAGACAAGTCATAGTTCTATACCTTATACTTTGCAATTTTCTAATTATAACAATATCTAACTCTTTGATATGATTTAATCAATTATTTGATCAAAATATTTGTAACAATGTGTGTGTCTGTCCACTTAGAACTTGCAGGGGTCGTAGATAAAGGTGATGAATGGGAAATGGTTTCTGGAGAAGCGATATAGGCATTGCTTAGTGTCAGCCCATCACATACTGTGTAGATCTTTGGAGAAAGCTGTTGAAAAGCACATTATAGGTAACAGAGCTTTTACAATTTAGGAAAGTACTTATCCCATGTCTTGACTTTATCCCATGTCATAGACTTCATGTCTACTGCTGTCAGAGCAGAGTCACTGGAACAAATGGATCATGTAAACAAACTGTGGGAAGATTTCCCTTCAAATCTCTGCTGAGCCAATTCAGGCTGAGTGTCACCGCCTTATCTTAAATGTGTAAGACACCTCAACCTGCAAAGAACCTCTTTCCTTATTAATACTAGCTTTTTCATTCCAAGTTAAGTGAGTTTATCACTACCTTGAAATTCATTAATTTCCACCATGAACTTCCATTTGTGTTCTGCTTTTTATGATAGACGTGCATTCCTAGCAGACCTTATCTGGTAATATTTATGATTCTTTCCAGCTTTCCAGAAGGTTGCACTGTTGCCACAGATACTTACAATACATTTACAGATGTCAAAATGAAGACACTGGCTGTGCATACCTTTACTTCCTCTTCCAAGCCACACAGGATTTCCCAATAGGTGAGGGTGGCATACTTGCTTAGCCAGCAGCCCACAGTGCTCCTTTTGTCCTTCCCAACTGGAGACAGGTGCCTTCTGAGGCAGCCAGCACTCAAGACAAAAGGGTAAGACAAGCTGGTGTCAACATCTGGCAGCAGCTTCAGCGTCAGTCCTGTAATCACTGGAGCTCCTTGTCCCTCAGAAGAGACAGGGCTCAGCAATTTTCTTCAGATATTCCATAAAAAAAGAAACGGAAGCTGAAATCCTCATACTGTCAACTCGTGTCATTTAGGGATCTCCCAGGTAATGGGAAAACCCCCAAAGCGAGTTCCTGGAGGGACAAATAGCTCTGTAGCTGTTGTAGTCCAAGGCTGGCTCTGTGCATCCTGGCAGTGTTGAGTCTGAGGTAACCTGCTCTCCTGGAGTGCTGGTGGCACACAGAGTGTGCCATCGCTCACCTTGATGCAGAGCTGGGTCCTTCATGGTCTGTGAGGAGTCACTTGGGTCCTGCTGCCACCTGCTCCCCTGAGCTTCTCATCTGGGGAACACACCTGCAGAGCCCCTGCAGCACTCTCCAGGCACATCTAGTCCTTCTTAGATTAGGCTTGGTGTCCCATGAAAGTGTTTGTAATGTTTCCAGACCTGAACAGGCAGCGCTGTGCCCCAGCTGAGGAACCCAGCCAGACTCTGCATGGAGCCAGCTGAGCTCCCTGCACCCACAGTGCAGTTAACGTGCGAGCAGAATGCTGCTGAGTGGCTGCTAACTGCAGCTACTCCTTGCTGTCCTTCTAGGATTCTGAGATTTGCTTTGGAATTGTTTCTGAAAGGGAACTGGTGCTGTTGCTGAGCTGCCCTGTGTTCTTCCAGCATAGTGGTTAGGTCAACAGCAGGAACTGTGTGGGACTCGGGAGCTACTATCCTTCCCAAATATTTCCACAGAAAATTCCTACAACACCACTCAAAAAGACCACAAAGAAAGGCAATGGGAGTTTTTAAAACAAATCTCAACATTAATGGATTTTTGCCCCTTCACACTCTTATCCATATATTCATCAGCATCATAGAATATTCTGAATATTGGAGAGGACCCACAAGTATCAAATTAAAGTCCAGTTCCAAGATGAGTGCATCTTAGTGGCCTGGCCAGTATCACTTATGTACAAGAGAGATGCTGCAGGCTACATACTGGTTCTCTGTAAGAAAAGCCTGAAAAGACATGAATTAAAGAACAGCTGTTTAAATAGACTAGACTAGACTAGACTAGACTAGACTAGACTAGACTAGACTAGAATAGAATAGAATAGAATAGAATAGAATAGAATAGAATAGAATAGAAAAGAAAGGGGAGTGTAGACAACAAGTAAATCTGAGACCCCTTCAGATGCTGGGCACCCTGTGTTCAGGCAGCATTGTTCGAGACCAGAGGGGAAGCCCTGCTGGGTTTGGTAGGGAAAGTGATGAAGCTTTGCTGACACTTTGTGAGTGAAGTCTCTCATGAGTGGTATTTTTGAACACTGTGAAATTCAAAGTTATGTTTCATGTCAGGTAAATAAAGGCAACCTGTGTAGTTGTATTTGTGAAATGTGTGTGTTACAGGCAAAAATGATCAAGCCGAATTAATAATTAATAAAATAGATTTTTATTTCTCTGTAAAGGAATTTCTGGAGGCAGGAGGCCATGGGGTGGTCTTGGACCTCCTGAGAGATAATTCAGCAGTAATCATAGACCTTCTGAGAGACAATCCAGTATACGTAGAGTAGAGGTCACAGCACCGTTGGATAATGGGAAGTAGCTATGGAGCAGTCACAAAAGGGGAAGTTAGGAGGATATGCTTAACCGCAGCAGGAGCAATCATGCGGCTGCCAAACAGTTGCAAGGCAGAAAGAGGAGTGTGGACAAGGAGCTATGACCAAGCTAAGTGAAGCTGGGGCGCGTGCTCGCATGCCGACTTGCTGAATGCCTATAACTATACCCGAGAAACGGGAAATAATGAAACACTTACCATACTGCTATGAGGACTGTGTGTGACTTTCGGGCCTCCCTCGACTTGCTGCTCTGGGAAACCTTGCACCCCTGGTTCTCCTCACCGTCCCCTCGGTCTTAGATAGCCACAATCAAAAGGACAGTGCCGAGCCTGAGATCGGCGCTGGGTGAACACTGATCCGACCTCTACAGCATCAGATCTCCTCTGTCCACGGATGCTGTCTCTGTCCTGACAGTTTTTATACACTTGTTTTCACCTGGGGCAGAGGTTCTCCTATTCTTCTCGTTGCTTCACATATTCATGGGGTCTCCTTTTCTCTGTGCTGGGCTGGACAAAGCCGTTTCTGGGAAGCAATGAATGCTGATGTTGAGTTAAGGGAACCTGGTATTGGGATGCATATTCCTGACCATGCTCCTGACAGACTCTGCCTATCTTGATTGCAGATATCTCCTAGGTATTCATCACTGGGTGTCTCCTAGATGGTGCAGGAAAAGGCCCATCTCTGCACAGAGCCACACTTTTTTGCTTGTAAATGAGGTCTTTCTGCTTGCTGCCATCTGTGGTTTCCCAACCTTTCCTCAGCTGCAGCTTGTGGTTTAAAACTTTAAGGATTTTTCATACAAGCACCATTTATTGCATATATATGTTTTACATAAGCATGAATTATTCCATAACATATATTACATATGAAACACAGCCCTGGGACAGTTATAAAGATGAGTTCTAATAAACAAATGAGGAAAGCATGGAAGAAAGCTTTTGAACCAATCTTTTGGTTGTAAATAACAATTATAAGTCTTAAGCTGTTTTGCAATAAGAACTTTTGAATTATAACTTTAGAATGTTGCTTAGTACTAGGGATTTTAAACTGTAGCTTTAGAATGTATAAAGAATTTAAACAGAAAGGGAAGTCAAGCTATCCCAAGCTCCTGGAGAAAGAAGATGGACATTGAGGTTGCTGATTAATGATTTCAAAAGGGGAAGCTGGACATCACTATCATAGATTTATGATCCTAAAAAATAGAAGCTGGACCCCACTATCTGGACACATATCCTGGGATGTACACAATAGAGTATGGAAATTGGAAAGGAACCATCACAGATTTGCTATCCTAAAATATAGAATTGTGATGCTAAAAGGTAGAAATGGAAACTGCCAAAAGCCCATGTAGAAACTGGGAAAAGCTTATGAATATGCATGAACATGATCAATAAATATCAGCAAGCCCAACAATCAGGGTGCAGTCAGAGGGGAAAATCCCCACCACTGTACCCAGCGCTGTCTTTACTCATATGTTACCATATTAATTAATAAATTGAATTGCCGCTTGATATATTGGCTGAGTCAAGCATCTCATTTCTAACAGCACTTCATCTTTGACAAAGTTGTGACAGCATGGAAAGATCTGGCAACACACGAGGCAGAACCACCATGCTTTGCACTGAGCTGAGCTTCAGGTGTTTCAGGGAAGGTCTGTACGCCCCACAGAGCAGCTGCGACCCTGGGAGGAGGGGTGTCCTACACAGAAGAGCAAATCACCTTTTTCTGCCAAGGAAGCATTATCATCCCTTTGAAACTTAGAAGCAGGCTTCAAAGAGATGGTTCGCTTATTATGTTTTTAAACTGGAAACTCATCAGGCCCCGCTGCAGCTCAGATAAGGTGTGAGGAAAGGAGGAGAGAACACTGCTGGGGGCAGGCATGTTTGGATACGTCATTTAGAGGCACCAGATGTGGTCAGGCAAAGTTTTCCCGTTTCCTCTTTCATCTGCGCGTGCCAGCGGAGCTCGGGGGTGCGCTTTGTGTTTGGGCGCGCGTCTGCGGCAGGGACAGAGCGGAGGACAGCGCCAGCGGAGTCCACCGGGCAAGGAGAAGCCATGTACAGGAGAAAGATGAGAGGGTAAAAGAAATCGCTGACAAAGCAAAAGAAATAAAAAGAAAAGAAAAGAAAAGAAAAGAAAAAAAAAAGCAGTCCAGCTTCAGCTCGGAGTTGTTGCTGCTGCTGGGACCCGAGGGCGTCGCTCGCTTCGCGGCCCCGGGGGAGGGCTCGGGCAGCGCTCTCAGCGGGACGGGACTTTGTCCCCGGGGTAGCCGCGGTGGGCGAGGCGCTGCGCTGGGCTCTGAGCCTGTCGGGGAAGCTCCCGGTGGTTTAGAAGCCGTCCCGAGAGCCATAAACCACTGAGCGGTGACAGGTACTGACAACAGCGCAGGGAAGGCGGCGGGCGCTGGGGAAGGGCTGAGGCGGATGCTGGGCTGCAGCAGAAACTGAAAATGCCTCTGCCCTATATATAACAGAGGTCTTGAGACAGCTGTTATCACCCAAAATAAAGTGTCTCAGACCATTTGCTGTTCCAGGGAGGCGGAAGTTTTAATGCGAAGTTTAGTAAAGAAGCGCCTCGGTTGCGTAGAGCATTAGCAAGGGACAAAAAATAGTGGGTTAAAGGAGTTTTGACAAATTTATGCTCATGTGTTTTTAGACATTGTCATTATTGTTATTATTATCTTGCAATGAGCAGAGTTTTAAATAGTTTCTAATAAAAAGTGTTAGAGGAAGGAAGGAAAATTATTAAATATCTATGATGGTGCAGCTTATTACGCAGTTTTAGTAAAAGAGATATTCATATTAGGAGCTGGTTTTTGTGAAAATTAGTACATTTAAAAATAATCTCATTGCGTTCCTGTTCAAGTTACGGGTAGTGGGACCATACAATAGGAAATGCATAAATAACACATTTTAAAATGTATTTTGTTGCCAGTCAATACATCTTCAAGGCTTAGTGCACATTTAATGCACGTAGCAGATGCATATTAATAAAAAAGAAAATAAAGCCTAGGAGATAGCTCCGTTGGCTGTCATCCCTCTGCTGTTTTCTGCCCTAATTCCCCTAAACATTTTGGGGTACAATCCACCTTTCGAATTATTAGTCATACTTTACAGTGCGTTTCTCTGCAGCTCTCAAATTCTGAAAGCATTACAAATTCACCTCTATGAGACTGACGAACCTGATTTAGAAAGAAAAATAATAATGTTTTCTTCTTTATATCTTTAATTATTTGCTGAGTATGAATTTTGTCTCATATTTGTATCAATAGCTGCTATGTGATCGATTTTTTTTGAGTTAGCCTCTATGTGTCTACCATGCATAACAACGCTGAATAGGAAGGACACTTGGTCATAACTACAAAAAATTTTAAAAAGAGTTGAGGTGACTGCATGAATTTTGGCAATGTATCTGTAAGCTCACAATTTAAGTATTCTCTTGTCTGACTTGGGGAGAAAAATGAATGCTGCCTTTCCGTATATATTCTATAGCATGTGAATGTGTTATAATGGTTTTAAAATTTCTCATTTGTCATTCTGGTAGTGTTGTTTAAATTTTCATTAATCTACTATTTAAGAATAGCAAGTAACAGCTGTAACTATTATTAATAAAAATACAGACTTTTGGTAATGTTTTACTAAGTTGATTACACCGTAAATTTCACTTGGTTCAACACATCCCTAAGGTGTCTGCATCTTGAAGATTAGTGTATTTCAAGATTGTTCTAAAGAAATAGCTTTATGTCCGTGAACACAGGACACCCGTTGCAATAGCTTGTCCAGAGTGCAATTTTTTATGGCCAAAACATAGGGAAGAGGGTGCTTAAGACCTGTTTAAGAAAGACTTGGAAGTTTTAACTTGTGTGTTATAATCTGATGGGAACATCTACAGGTACCTTTTGAACGAATCAGATCTCTGTAATCTCTTGTCACATTGCTATCCAAAACTTTAAAGGTATCTTCTGTAAAAATTAGATTAACTGACTTGGATTGAATATTGGGAGTTTAATGAATTTTCCTTGGTCAACTTCAAGTAGTCGCATATTTTATATATTTATTGTGAACATATGATATAGCTATATTATATATATATGTTCCCTAAAATTGAGTTTTATAGAAATTTAAGCTAATAGACATTAACTTCCAAACAACATAATACAAATAGAAAAAGTGCATCTCTTAACACCTCAAATGAGGAAGCATAAGCTTTGAGTCTGTGCTTCAATTTTGTCTTTGTGTTTTTTTAAACAACCTACTAAAGGAATTATGCATAATAATAAAATAGTAATTCCTGTGCCATAATTAAACATTTGGTGACATTTACATTTATTATTACATTTACATAAATTCAGTAGAAAGTCTGATAAATAAATCTGCATGTGTGGTTTCTTTGGTTGATATAAATGGAGTTTACATGGAGAAGATAAAGAGAGACACACCACGTGGTTTATAAACTGGTCTGTGTGCATAAATATTTTAATGTGAAGGAGGCTGGGATGAGGAAGAAGACAGGGTAAGAAGACAAAGCCTTCTGACTGACTCAGATAAATGAGGTGATAAGTCCTGCAGATAAAGAATACGTGACAGTTACTTTTTCTGCAACATTTCATTCATCCCTAGTTCAGACTGGGCGGTTTTGCAACTTTTTTGTTGTGTTTTTTGTTTGTTGGTTTGATTTGGGTTTTTGTTTATTTGTTGGTTTTTGTTACTAATAATTACTAGTCTGTAAAACAATTTAAAGGCTTATGGTTTCTCTCTTCAGAATCTGATCAGTTGTCTACTAGATTTACTCTCTATTATTCTAATGTGGAAAAACATATATCTGAAGTGCATTCTCATATAAATCTCTATATTAGGCAATTGTACAGAGGCTACATAGTGCCTCTGAAGACTTCATTATTTATGTATAATGGATAATTACTGAGTATAAAAGTAATACTGGCAGTCTTTGTAGAGGTCCTTAACTGACAATATTTAGAGGTCCTTTCTGAAATCAGAAAATATCCATCCCGGGAGTGGCATCTTTTGCATAAAGCACTTCTTTCCTCTTCTCTCATGTAGGGTGGTGCTGACTGTTCTAATCGTTATGAAAGTACAAACAGCAAGAGAATCCAGTAAGGAAAAATATTCAGCTTCATAGTGTATCAGTGCATTTATTTTCTTATTTTATTTTTTTGTATTAGTTTTTACAAAAATCACAACAGTTCCTTATATTGAAAAGAGCTACATGGGAGCTTTGTTAAAATGTCTGACACACAAAAAATATAGAGTTTTTAGAGATACTCCCACTGCTGGGGAAGAGGACAGGCATAGGGAAGGGGGAGGTGGTGAAAGTTTTTCATGCAGCTGTAGATGAGGGGAGGATTAACAGTTCAGCAGTTGGTTCCTTTAGTTCCTTGACCCTGCCTGGTGCCTGTCTCTCCATTTTCCTTTTGTTGCTGTCTCATGCTTTGCTCTTCTCAGTTCTCTGATTTCCTCCACCTTCCCCCTTTTTACTGGAATACTACCGAAAACAAAGTTGTAACCAGTGATTCCTTGAATTTTCTCTTCTGTTTCAGCATGTATATATCTAAGAGGGCATTAAGAAAACACTTTGATCCCCGCAATTATCCACGCGAGACATACCTACTCTGCGAGCTGCAGTGGCGTGGGAGTCACAAGTCTTGGCAACACTGGCTCAGAAATGATGATAGTAAAGATTGCCATGCGGAAAAGTACTTCCTGGAGGAAATCTTTGAGCCAAGAAGCTACAATATCTGTGACATGACCTGGTACCTGTCCTGGAGCCCCTGTGGGGAGTGCTGCGATATAATACAGGATTTCCTGGAGGAGCAGCCCAATGTGAACATAAACATACGCATAGCACGGCTCTACTACGCAGACCGTGCAAGCAACCGCAGAGGCCTGATGGAGCTTGCCAACTCGCCAGGAGTAAGCATTGAAATCATGGATGCCGACGGTAAGGTTTCCCATGCTTTGTGGGACTGGGCAGGGGTGAGCTGGTGAACCCTCTGCATGGGTGAATTGGGTATGGGCTTGCTTCTATGGTGCCCTGTGTCTACTCAGCTTCTTTGGGGGCACAGCCATCACCATGCAGCGAATGAGAGTCACATCTCAAAAAGAGATGTTTAAGTAGTGTGGGAGAAGAGGCACAGGACCCTCAGCATCCAGATCTGTATGAAAATTCTCCTTTGTTTAGAGATACCATCCTTACATCACTCCTGAGTGAATGGGGGATATGGTCCTTCTCCCTTGTCCTAAATGTAGTTGCTGGGATAAGGCTGGCTGAAGAACTCCTCTGTACTTAAGGGAGGGGAAAAAATTGCCCAGAGTAAATTGGTTCCAAATACGGAGTGGACAGCATCCATCAGCTGACCATGGCCAAGCTGTCTCTGTGATATGACACAAGGAAGAGCTTAAGAAGTCTTGTTCCCTGAGCTTCTCTCGTATCTGAATAAACTCAAGTTAATTATCTTGCCTTTATTTCTCCAGACTATAATGACTGTTGGGAGACCTTTATACAACCAGGTGTCTACTATCGTTTCTCACCCGAGAACTTTGAATCAGCAATAAGGAGGAATTGCTCACAGCTGGAAGATATCCTTCAGGTACACTCTGAGAGATAGAGGGCATCACATGAAACTATTTGCAGTCTGGGGCAACTGAGCTGTAAAGAGCAGGAAAGAAACCCTTGTTCACATGTAGCTCTAGCTGGACTTTAAAGAGTACTGCAGCAGGCTTTTGAGAAAAGTAATGCACTAAAAATCATGGGAACTGTCCTGGCCCACTGGAAGAGAAGCACTGTGGATATTTTTCCATTATATTGATGCCATACTGGTTTTTGCCTTCTTTTCTTTAAATGTTCTCTGTATTCCTTGTCTATATATTTGGAGCTCTGTAACCTATTATTGTATTCTAGCTAGTTTTCTCAGTACTTTTCTATGCCCTTTCCCAGGAAGGAAGACAAAACAAATTCCAGAGCTCCAAGCCCCAGGGGTACAAGGCCTATATCCTATCTTGGTTCTTCCTGGGAACCAAGGTTGAGAACAAGGTCTTTGAGACACATTTTCATAAACAAATACAGCTAGTACCAGGGGAGGGCTCCAGAGAAGGAACTTGACCTGGGACGGGGCGGTGGGGAGGAGTTGCATTATCACTTGTCCTCCTAATTGGGGCTTTTCATCAGTGATGCTAATTTCCTAAAATAAATCAAAACTATATTCAACTCGTGTGGAGGGAGTTTTGTGGACATTCTCCATAAATGCCCCTGGAGGCCTCCAAATAAAAATGCATTTTTATATTACCTCCTACACTAAAATTACCCCAGGTTTCATTTTTAGTTTGAAAAAGGCATCAATATTATGAAGGAAGAGCTATGAGTGTAGTTTTTCTCCTTTGGGTTCCAGGGTGGGAAATTCCTTGATTTTTACCTGGAACTCAAGTCTCATCTCAGAAACCCTCCACCAGATTCCTTTTTAACCTGGATCTGAGCATGGGTTTCAGTTTGCTAAATGGGGCTACTCAGCCCCTTTCTCTCAATGTCTGCAGTGGTCTGACACACCTGACACCTAGTTACTGGGCTCCTGCATACTTCTTTAAAGACCCTTTCAAATTCCATTCAGTAACTTCTGTGACTGGTTGGAAGGGTATAGTTGCTGTGAGATGAGAAAAGCTGTTCAAAACAGAATGTCTGTGCCCTGGGAAAATTCAGCCTTTGCTTTTGTTTTGTGCCAGACCTCCTGAAAGGCAGGAGAGAGAAAGGTGTGTTCAACAACACTGCTGAAAGCTTGTGGCCCTGGAGACAAGACACTTGGCATGGATGAATATGTCCACCTCCTTGGCTGGGAAGGACTGTATTTTAAAAAATTCTAGCAAAACTAATATAAGTGCTTCAGCATTTTGATTTCAATTTATTAGAATATTCTGACAAATTCTATTTTTAGCGAACGAAAGTGAAAGAAATCTACAGCTATATGGGGCATTGATTTTTTGGGAAATCCATTTTGTATGGCATATGTGGAAAAGTAACATATTGGGCTACTACAACTAACAGACTGCTTCTGCTGTGTTTCAAATCACAGCAGGTTCAAAGTGCAATTGGAGGATCTAAATGTCATACTTCTATTTCCATTTCAGGGTCTTCATTTGTAGAATCAAAGAATCACAGAATATCTCAAGTTGAAAGGGATCCAAAAGATCATGCAGTCCTCCTCGCATGACTATCTAAAACTAAACATGACTAAAATCATCATCCATGTTATAAACAGTTATGTAGTAGTTGACTTTCACTATAATTTGTTTGGTTGAATTACAAAATAGCAATTGTTTTTAGATAATTAGTGTAAGTCTCAAATTGCTTTTAAGTGTGGTAAAATTTGTAATTGCTTGTGGGCAATGTAAAAGGAGAAATAAGGCTTTTGCCAGATGTAAGTGGGCTTGTGAAAGGTGTATTTTAAGATATGATTATTATTGCAAAATGTATATAAAAGATAGCATAAGTGAAGAGCAGAAGACCATGAAGGAAGAGTACCAAGCTTAAAATGGCATCAGAAGACCACCCTAGACTGCCAATGTCTGCAACTATTGAATTGTGCAAATGCTGCAAAAATCTGAAGGAAGATTGTAGTCAACCAGCCCAAAATAAATCTGCAGAATCACGAGTAAGTAATACAACTGTAACGCTATAAAAGACTGCAGATAGAAGAGGTGTGTGTGCCTGGCTGTGGCCATGCACCCAGTGTATGCTGTAAGTTTTGCTTTATGATTATCTCCTATTATCATTTATTGAATCTCTTAAAAATGTTAGAGGAGTGGGCTTTGTTTCTGACATCAGAGTGAAGAACCTTTTCCTAATGTCCAGGCTGAACATCCACTAAAGCAGCTTCATTCCATTTACACCAGTCCTATCACTGATCAGTGCTTTCAGGATTACATAAATTGCAGGATTACCTGGTCCCAGGCGGAGAATCCAGCACTTGCTCTTGTAATATTTCATACAATTGGTGTCTGCTCAGCTCTTCAGTATCCAGATCTCTCTGCAGGGCCTCTTTACCCTCAAGGGAATCCAAAGATCCTCCTAGTTTAATATAATTTAATATCATTGGCAGGATTACTTAGTTTTGGTTCCTACATTTGATTCTCCCATAGAGATGATTTATAAGAACGTTTAAGATCCCTGGCTGTGAAAATGAGCCCCATAGAACCCTAGTGGTGGCAGTCACTAGTCTGATGTAAACTCATTTGCTGTCACTTTTGAGCCATCAGCCAGCTGCTCCCCCAGAGCCCCATGGCCTCATCTCGCTGTGTGCTGGACATTTCATCCTGAAGGAGAAGTACTGAGGCCTCAACAATGGGCCTTGAGCCCCACTAACAAAGTGCTGTTAGCAATATGGCACATGTATCCTTTCTTTGGTGAAACATGTAGTCACCTTTCTGTATTTAGAATCTGGACAAGGCTAGGTCTGTTTTGTACTACCTCTATTTTTCTATCTTTCCTTCTTCCTTTCTCCCTCTGCTTAAAATTTTAACTCGCTACTGCCACAGGCTGCCCAGAGATCTCTGCTGCCACATGTTGTTCAGAAAGGTTTAATCTGCAGGCTGTTCAGAAACCTTTAAATTGTTGCTGGTACAGGCTGTTGAACTGATAATATGGTTGTAATTGCTGCAGCCTATAAATAAAACTTTCTAGTTGATTACTTGGTGGTGTTTTGTCTTAATTTAGCCCAAGGCTATTCCAAATTTTGGCTACCTCAGAGTTGGTAGTCCAGGACATGCCTCTCAGGACCAGATAATTGTCTCTCAGAATAACCCACATAACTTTACCAGGCACTGAAGTGAGACCAGCAGGCCTGTAATTACCAGGGTCTTCCTTCTTACCATTCTTGAAACGTTGGAACAACACTCATCTTCCACTTCACCTGGAACCTTTCCAGACTCCCAAGACCACTGAAAAACAACTCAAGGTCCTGCATTGATGGTGGTCAGCTCCTTCAGAGCCTTGGGATGAACCCTGCCAGGCCCCACAGATTTGTGCACATCCATTGCGGGCAGCCGCTCTTGGACCAGCTCCAAGCTGACTCGGGGTTTGTCATCCCCTCAGCTTGGTCTTCCAGCACTGGGGTCCTGGGCTCCCAGGGCCCATCATCTGGCCAGAGATGGGCAGGATGCCAAAAGGAGCAGCTCTGGAGACTTGCTGTCTTCTCCGATAGCCTTGTTTCCCACCTCATGATTTAAGATGAACAGAAGTGAACTTAAAACTACAGAAAAGGCCCCAGCAGGTCAGAAGCACAGTCCAGGCACTGTATCTAGCAGTGACAGGGGTTGTTTTCTACAGAGAGCAGACAGTTCTGGCCAGCTGTGGTTTGTCATTATCTGTCCCACTGCCTCAATACCCACAATGACTGCATTTGGGAACCCTGCATCTCACCTTTAGTGTCCATATATGGACTAGTTTCACCCTGTCCTGCCATGTGCATCCACAGTTTACTGGAGCAGAAAATTCCAGAATCTTGTCTCTGTTTTAGACTGATCAACTAATCACGGTAAGTGTCAGTTCTTGCTGTAATAATGTCATCATTAATCACTGAAACACTAGTCTGCATTAGAAAGACTGTGCTAACCTAGAGGATTTTCCACTGTTTCAGTGGGAGCTCTAGCATTTAACCAGCAGCAGCACTTGTTTAAAACTCAGCTTCAAAAGTCCACAGATGCTCTGCTGAACAGAAGCAAATCTTCCATCCACCAAGAGGTGTGACTGTGGAATGATAATTACAGTACCCATGGTCATTGTATTTCAGCATCTCCTCTCAGATAGCTAAAAGAACTAAGTAATTATTTTTATTTGCAAGTCCATCCTGGAACTAGGCCACAAGATGGAGACCCCTTATGCTTTTAAGATGTTTTTAAAGAGGCAGATAAAAGTGATCACAAAAGTTGTTATGGGGGGGTGGGAAAGAGAAACACAGATGATGTGAAACTGCTGAACAAAATTTATAAACTGTACCAAGTGTTTCCCTTTCAGTCTCCAATCTAACTAATTGTTGGCACAGGCTGCCAAACAAAGGATATCACAATAAAACCTCCCCAGCAGCTTTGGGGGTGGTTGTTGATGCCCTCTCCATGCCAAGATTCATTTTCCTTGTGTTTACACTGTCCTGTTGAACTTGTCTTGCCATGCTCAGCCTGTTTGCATCACAACCAGCTTTTGTCCAAAGCAAGCTTGTGACATTCCAAGGTCACGAGCAAGGAAGAACCACAGATTGTTTTCACAATAAAAAAATAACAAAAGAAACAAAAGAATTATTATAGCCTGTGCCTCTTGTGGCCCTGAGGACTAAAAAGAAGAAGAAAAAAATTGGTTATCTTGACTGCCCTCACTTGTGGTTTCCACTGACACACACCCACAGAAGGCCCAGGAACTGATATGTTTAGTATGGACTGCAATGAAGAAAATTAACTCCATCCTTGATGGTGCCTAATGGTTGTAATGCCTGGTCCTGGTAGATGTTTTCTGCTTTTGATGGAGGCTTTGTCTCCCATGACAACTACATTTTCCAGGTGAATTTTGGAGAGAGTTTAGCCATATATTGTTGTCATTGAGCAATCCCTG